GTTGTGAGTGGTGATTCTCGAAGTATCGACAATGGGTTTTGACGTGTCAAACCCGTGTGTTGTGTAAATGCTTGGCTTGGAAGTTTTGGTATTTATATATATTTATATATTAAATAATGATCAAATGTGATCAATTTACAAAAAAAATGTTATTTTGACAAGCTACACCATTTATATATGTGGTGAAATCTTATTATTATTCCACGTTCATATTATTACCAACTAAGGGTTGGAAAAGAAATATTTTGACATGAAAGTATATATATACATATATTTTAATCTTGGAGGATGGTGATACTTGGTGCTGGTGTGAGCCGGGAAACTCACAACCAACTGATTGGAAATTTGGTCATTTTACCGGAGTGAGCCGGGAGAACTCACAAAAATATTTTTATTATACCGGAGTGAGCCAGAAGAACTCACAAGTTTGGAATTTATCTCAGATATCGAAACCGGAGTGAGCCGGTAGAACTCACAATGAAATTCTAAATTATTTTCATGATTGGCTTATGAGATGCCTCTTGGTGGTTAAGTTGAGAGCTCAAAGATTCTACACTTGGTATCTACTCCTCCTTGATAAATATGTTATATTTTTGAAAATGACGTGGAAGGTTTTGAAAAATGATTATTTACTAAGTAACACTTGAACAAACTCAACTATGTTAATTATACAAAAGTATACATATATATATATATATATATATATATATATATATATATATATATATATATATATATATATATATATATATGGTTTGCAAAAGTATAAGACAATATAAGTACTTTAACTTGCAAAATATAAATAATCCAAGCCTATTCTTTTACGGGGTGAAGTGAAACTTACTTAGCTTATGCTAATTTTTGTCTACACTTTGTTTTTATGTCAAATTATCTATACAGGTGAACATGGATAGTAAATCGGGATGGAATCAAGTTGAGATGGAATAAAGTTTATTTATTTGAAATTTTGAGGAAAATACTGTTGTATAGTGATTTCAGTTTTATGTATTAAGTTGATTTTGATATATTAGTTGATGTTGTAAATTAGCCTTAGCACTTAGGTTGTTGGTTGCCTAAGTGTGGCGGTAACACCCTTTATTTTGGTTAGTTAATGCTTCCGCTAGAGTATTATTGAACTTTTAATTGCGAAAAAGTATTGAAATTAAGGATAATTTTGTTATAAAATTTGGGGTGTTACACGTGGGTTGCGTGGTATTTGTTGGAGTTCGGCTGCCTTAGCGTATGCTTCCTCGAGTGTCTTTGGTTTGTGCATTGTCAAGGCCTTTTGGCTTTCGAAGTTGAGTCCGGCCACGAACCTTTCCACTCTGAAGGCTTCGGTAGGGACCAATTCGTTGGCGAAGTGGGTCAGCCCTAGGAATTTCTTATGTTATTCCTATACGGTGGAGTTTCCCTATCTCAGGCGTAGGAGTTCTTCGCCCTTGGCCGTACGGATGCGTTGGGGATGGAAACGCTCTCTCAGTTTGGTTTGCAAGGCCGGCCAACTCATGCCTGGCTCTGTCTGGGCCCACCATTCGACGGCCTCATGCCGAAGGTAGAACGAGGGTATCTAGGCTCGTCTTTCCCCTGGACAATCCATTATTTCGCAGATCTTATTGAAAGTCTGAACCCATTCCTCGAGTGTCTCAGGGTCCTCTTCGCCGGCGAACGAAGGGGGGTCGTATTCCTCGATTCGGCGTACTAAGTCGTGGTTTCCACCCATTGGGGTTAGATCATTATCGGTTGTTAAGGCGTGGTTCAGTGTTTGAACGATCTGGGTTAATCACTGCAGGTTCTGAGTCACGAGATCGTGTGTCTGGTGTTCTGGTTGATATCTTGATGGTGCCATTCCGGTGTTTACAGGATCAACACCGATCATAACGGTAAGTTAGGGACTCGCATCCTTACCTTGATGCTATAATTTATGGGAGACTTTCAAGCAAAGCACATAATAGATTAGGAAGAAATTAAGCAGATAATGTGAGATAAACTCACAGCCTCACCGCGTGTCCTAAATTTCCTAGATCCTATGTACTTAAGTACCTAGAGTCTGAACCTAATGTCCTAAAGTCGTGTCCTTAGGGGTCTTATCCTACGGTCGAACTTAGGCTCAAAAACCAACTGTAACACCCCTAAATTTCAAGATATTTAAAACTTATGAAATAAAGGCTAATCTCTTAATAATTCCCAAACAGAGAAGAAACTAGACATAGAAGTCGGGGTGCTATGCCACATCTGAGCTGGAGAACTCAGATGCGCAGGCTAACTAATTAACAAAGCATAAACCATAATTGATACCCAAATACAAATCAAGGCACGCAGGCCATCTCATCTAGGCTAGAGCTATCTAAACTAAGTCCACGAATCCACTAGCGCGCTCCGAAGCTAAAGCTCATCACCTGAAAAACATTCGGTATAACAACCGTCAGCGAATAATGCTGGTAACCCACTCCAACGCGTTAAGTACAATATAGGTAGATATAAGAAACTTATTTTGAAACTGGAATATATATATATATATATATATATATATATATATATATATATATATATATATATATATATATATATACGTACGAGACTCTAATTTAAATCCAAGATCAAGACTCAGGGCATATCAACAGACTCAATATCATAGAATAATCATAAGAACTAATATGCCTCCTAAACATGCAATGCAAGGCATAGCAACTAGATAATCATGCAAATAACGAGTAGAGGCGACTATGGCATTTAATACAATCAATTAGCAAGTAGTTAACAAAGCACACAATTCATCCTCCAACCTTATACCAAGTTCCAACCGTATAACTCCCTTCGTCTTTATATCAGTTCAAACCTATACATCCAGACCATCCATATATCCCCACCCCTTATGCCTCCGGGCAACTACATGCTCCCACCGACGAACCCAACTTTCAACCACAAACATATCAAGATGGTGCCGCAGTGTCATTCAATGATCCGCACCTCTAGTGCCAATATCAAGGGGCTAGCCATGTAGCTCTAACATGACACTGCAACCCTTATAACCTGACCCATGCTCAACGGCAAGCTAGTCGAAGGTGGGTATGTGCCTTTAGCACATTCACCACTATGGCCTGTACCTTTAGTACAATGACCGGGCACACGTGGTGCCGACCGCCAACAGTTTATTTTCCACCAATCACAATCTCATCATCATCATTATCATTATCAATCACGCTTGCGATTGCGCAATGACCACGATACTCATCATCATCAATCAATCAACACATAATCACATAACAAGCAAGACACAACAACAACGACACGTATCACACATAAAATCATAGAACAATGCTTAAAACACCAAACGAGACTCATACACGGCAAACGGTGTACAACGGGACACAACGAGACATGGGGAAACATCAAACAGGGAAAAACACCACGAACCACGCCATGATTCTAGCGGGTCGGTGGCGGGTGGACCTCCACCCGCCGGGGGCGGGTTACTATTCCAGCGGGTGGCCGGCGGGCAGACCACCGCCCGCCTGCTGCCCGCTGGAACAGTAATGCGGGCAACGGGTAGGTGGCGGGTGGTCAATCCCCCCACCTACCCCCACTGGTACACAGGCAACTTTATGATCCCGGGGTCCTCGTGGAACCCGAAACCATATCCAAACACATTCAAACACATAACGACAACAGCACGTATTCAATTAATGGAACTAAACCAAATATCACACCAAATACATCCTAACACGATTCCTAAACATGCCAAGACTCAACCTAAATCACATAACCATCCAGGGACATCTGGAATCACAAGAACATAAAGAAATCTATATGCAAAGTCCTAAACACAAGTTCAAGGCTAAACTCAACACCCGATCATGAAAAATCCCACCCAAGCATACCAAGAATAGCATAATACGGAATCCACGTTATAACCCTACGGCTCTAGACATAATAAAACTACAAGATCGTCCATTTAATTAATCATAGCATCAAGAATATCAAGATTATCACATAAACACAATATAAACCCTAGGCAAGGCTCTATCAAGACACAAGCACAGAATCATATATCAAAGGAGCCAATGAATAAGATATAGCAAGGAAAATAGGTTTTGTAGAGACATGGGTTACCTCTTAGCCGTAATCAATATCCTAGGCTACTAAGGTCTTTCTCTAAGATTCTTCTTCCAATTGATCTTCCTAGGCTAGTTGGTGGGGGAATTCCTTGGCTGGGGCTCCTGCGAGTGATTTCGTGTGAGGGAGGGGAGAGGAAGGGTTCTATTTGCTTCATAATCTCCTATTTATATGTCTAAGAGAAACCTATTCAAGGTCTGAGTTAATAAGGCCCGCTTTTCCCATTCCTTATGGGTTTAAGGTTCCTTGTTCCGGTAAGGGTCCACGATTGTAGAATTTACTGACACAAATCGGTAACACCTTTTAACATAAAATTTACCAGATAAGTAGTGCAGATAGTCTAGACTACACACAAAAACTTTCAAGCCAATCCAAGGCCTAGAAGTAGTTTTTCCGAAATATTTCCCAACACTGCGCCAAACAGAAATTAAACTTGCAGTACACTACCTCAACTTCACGAAATTTTTATGGAAAAACAGAAACATATTTTTAACCAAAACATTTTACAAACATCAATTATAACAAGTCTATGTTCTCCAGAAAACATTTCAAGCAAAAATAAGTGTATGAAGCATTTTTCACAAATTTTTCTTTCCAGCTGCGCCAGTCAGAATTTTATAGGCAATAATCAGATTGAGTGCAATTTTTCATTTTAAATCACCATATCACATATTCAGCGATTCCAAAACATCTAAACGCACATATCTACTCACATAATATAATAAAATAACTTTCCACGTTAAATATCACAAATTCTTCGAATCACACAAACACTTTTTTTTTTTTTTTTGGAAAGCAAAAACACGAATCAATATTATTGAAAAATCATCAAAAGAAAATCTGGAGGGATAGTATCCCAATACAGCGAACCATCCTGAGTAAAAGCCTTAGTGGCCAAAAAATAAGCTAAAATATTTAAAACACGAGGGATCGAAACTAATACGCAAGAAGAAAAAGGAATCCATAATAGACTTGCAGTCCCGAATAACCACCCCCGTATACGATCTCGGTGGGGAATTCGGCCTATTGATATAACCTTGGAGGACCGAGCAATTCGTATAAACCGTGATTTCCGTAACGTCACGTGCTTTTAGCCATGATAGAATTTCCTTACAAGCGAGTGCCTCAGCCGTAATAATATTTTCAGTGTATGGGAGCTTCCCATTTACTGCCGCAATGAAACCGCCATCTTCCGCTATTAAAACCCCTCCAAACGTAGCTGCCCCTGTGTCTGGGTTGCGGCCTGCATCGACAAAACACCGCCAACCCGGACGGAACTGCACTGAATGCTGCTGCCGTGATGCTCCGGTAAACCGAGTCCCAGCCGCATGCCAAGCTGCCACGGCATTGTTGGCTACAGTCCACGTGTGGCGTGGTGCATAGAGGTAAGCCTCCCATACTGCAGTGTGTCTTGCTCCCCAGATTTGATAAAGGACTGCAATAACTTTAATAAGAACATCCTCAGTTAGAAAAGTCATAGCATTTTGCAACCACTGAGCAAAACAATCACCAGTCACACAGGAAATAGGGAGATGAGATTCATTCCACACATGTATAACATAAGTGCATTCAAGAAAAGTATGCATGGTATCCTCGTGGAAAACGGTACACATGGGGCAAGATGGATCAATATCAACTCTTTTTACTAAGAGATTTGTAGTGGTGGGTAGAATACCACTAACAGCTCTCCATAAGAAGGTTTTCCATTTAGGGGGGACTTTTAACTTCCACAAGGCAGCCCATTTTTCAAAACCTGGGGTATTTGCTATTTCCCCAAGAACACATCTATAACCACTCTTCACAGAATATGCACCATTCGGATCATTATAACAATACCATGAGTCCTCATAAGAGGGGCAAACTGGTACCCGGAGAATACGGTTAACATCCTGAGGATCAAAAATATAAGTGAGTATAGCTAAATCCCATGTCTGGGTATCCTGATCAATCAAACCTGACACTTTCGAGCCCTGTAGCTGGTGCGGCATAGGAGTATGAATCCTGAAATCTGAATCAAAGAGCCAGGGATGTTCCCAAATGGAAGTAGAAGTACCATCACCAATCCTCCTCCTTATACCACCACAAATTAGCCCATGATTAGCCATAATACTCCTCCAGCAATAGCTGGGATTATTTGTAACAACCCATGTTACGACCTTCAAATCCGAATTAATTATTAAATTAATTCCGCTAACTAAAATAATTAAAAGGGGTTTAATCCAATTATAATTCCCTCAATTAACCTGAGTAGTCCACGATGAATATAGGTGAGATTTTCAAATTCTAAATCATGTATATTCTTTTAATTTCTTTATTTTAAGTATGCAATAATGCAATGACTCAATCAATGTTTTACAACGTGTAAATAGGTATATCTTTGGGAAGAACTTTGCATCAGAGAAGATACCTATGAGTACTCCTATGTTCACTTAATTAAGCATCAGATGATGGCACAACCGAAGCAGACTTGCTTGTCTCGATCTCCAAAATTTGCATACCATTTTCTCACTTTTTTCCATATCTCTTTTATTCTCTTATTTTTAAAAGAAATAATTTGGTATCAAATGCATAAATTTTCTTCATATTGATTAAAGATTTTTTCTTTAATCATTTGCCTAATTTTTTCTTGTTAAATGCTGGTTGTGTGTTCTTGAACATTTAACAAGAGCATATAGTAAAGGACATCTATGGAACTGCCACATAGGAGAACTAACAACTTGAACATTTTGTGCCATGCTTCAATTTGACTACAGTTAGTTGTATTGAAATTTTCTTAAAAAATGCTTTGTAGGATGATCACGAGTTATGTATCTTCCTGCATTTATTGGGCTAGCCATCTCTAGTGCAAGTGAATGGGTATGAATTTTGTTTCTCTTGCTTTTCTTACTTAAATTTAAGTCCCTTCATAAGGTATTATTTCCTATTGCAGCTTGATGGGCATGTGGCCAAGAAGAGTATGATAAATTCTTTGGTTGGTTCCTACCTTGATCCACAGGCACGTGGCCAGGAAGATTATGAAAGTTCTTTGGTTGGTTCCTACCTTGATCCACTTGCTGAGTACTGAGAAGGTAATAATTGAATTCCTTGCATCAATTATTTCCACTCTCAATTTGGCTCATCAATTAACCTATACTTCTATATGAAACTCCTATTCTATTTTTCTTTCTTTTTATTTTATTCTAATGTTTTAGTGATGCAGTAGAGAATGTTGTAAGAGTAACAATGCATGATGTTTGTCATCTTTTTAAGCTTAATAGTTATAAGTGTGGAATAAATTATATTATAATAGTTCATTGATGCTTAATATCTTCTATTTCTTTGTAACTTGTTCTTTAAACCTTTAGGTGCTCAATTTATACTTGCACCCTGCAATCCTAATAATATTTGCAGTTTGAATCTTCAGGAGCTTGATGAGTAAAATGCACTATGATTTATCCAAACTTTTGTATGAGCAAGTTGCAACGGGAGGTATATTAACATATAATGATTAAGAATTTGAAGACTTCTATATGTCTTATGCATTAAAGATTAGATGCTCTTGAGAGTGAGAGAGCTTGTATTTCATTTTCACCCTTATAACAACTGGATTAAACTTGATATTTTTTTTTATTTATGAATTATTATGTTGTTAAGACATGGATTTGGTATTAAGTGCAACATTCAATTTTTTGAACTATAAAGTAGTATTACTTTTACATTACAAGTAAAATTGTATTTTAGTTTTAATATTGTTTTTATTTATAAATACAATTGTATATTAATATTTTAAATACAAACGCTCGAATTTTAACAAACTTTCCGACGGAATATAAGTGATGGAGTTGCGTTGGAGATTTGTTCCGTCATTTTATTACGATGGAATATTGAGACGGAATATGAAATTTGCAACGGCAATGTTAGCGACGAAATCACGACGATAATTATTTTCGTCGTTATATTTCATGACGGCAATATGCAACGGAATATGAGTTTCGCAATGTAATATTTTTTCATACAATGGCAATGGAAGGAAACATTTTCGTTGCCAAAATCGTAACGGATTCGCGACGGAATGATTTTCGTCGCCAACTTCGCAACGGAAAATTCCGTTGCTTTTTTTCGTCGCCACTGCTCGCAACGGATTATATCTGTTGGAAAATGAAGTACGACAAGCCTAGAGACTACGGGATGAATTCTGTCACAAAAATGTAAATTTCCATCGCAAAACGTGATTCGCGATGGAATTTGTCGTTTTCGCAACGGAAAAATTCCGTCGCGAATCGCGATTTTTCTTGTAGTGCATCTTGAATATTTAAAAGATATGAAGAAGAGTGGGGTTGCATTGGTGGATGGTATGAGGTTTTTGAAACATCAGTCATGGGGTTCTCCATTGGTTGGCTTTACCAACTGGGATGCTTACAATTCGATGGCTTGTGAGAGTTTGAAGTGTTTGGATGGAACCGATTCCAATTCTTTGATTGAAATATTTAGGAGGAGGCAGTCTAATGAGGCTGCTTTCTTTTTTGATTTTGAAGTTGATTTGGATGCAAGACTGTGTAGTTTTTTTTAGAGGGATGGTCAAATGAGACGGGATTATGAATTTTTTGGGAATTTGTTAGTGCACGATACAACATATCGCACTAACAAATATGATATGATCGATTTGTGGTCCTTTTGTAGGGATGAACCATCATTGCATGAATGTAATGTTTGGATGTGGGTTTTTTATGAAAGAGAGGATAGAATTATTTGCGTGGTTGTTTAGAGCGTTTTTAAGATCCATGGATGGCAAGTGTCCACAGACTATCATGACGGATCAATGTTCAGCTATGGCTACTACCATTTCTATGGTATTCCCTACATCACGCCACCGTCTTTGCATATGGCATATTGGTGAGAATTCAAAGAAGCATATCAAGCGTTAAGGAATCATAAAGAAGAATAGAGGTGCTGACAGCTGACTCAATGACTCAAGTCTATGACTTACTACTTAACAACTTACTTAATGTATTTTGTTCAAGTTAAACACTTAAGTCTTAACTCTTAAGCATGATTTTTTGTATAATCATTGAAAATCTGTAATTATTAACTTAGTTTGAATCTTAAGCATGATATTGGTGAGAATTCAAAGAAGCATATCAAGGCGTTAAGGAATCATAAAGATTTTTTGGATATGTTCAATTGTGTGTTGAAATACACCGAGACTGAAGCTGAGTTTGAATTTTATTAGACAAGGTATTTTATTATTTATTTTTTTCATTGGGTACAGTATCATATTTTGGTATTTTAGTCATTTATATTGTGTATTTAAGAGGGGTAAGAATTATGAATATACAGTTTAGAAGTTATGAATCTGCAGCATAGATATTATGGATATTCTATGTCTATATTATGAATGTACAGTATCCTGTTTGGACTTTTAGTCATTTATATTGTGTATTTAAGAGGATAAGAACTATGAATATGCAGTTTATATATTATGGATCTACAACATAGAAATTATGAATATACAGTATTATGTTTTTTTTGTGATATTGTTGTTTTGTTTCATATAAGCTTAATAAACGTGTCTTGTAACTTTCAGGATGGTGAAAGAGTACAAGTGTCATAAGAATACTTGGCTAGAGAAGCTTTATGATTGTAGGGAGAAGTGGTGTCCAGCATTTAACAAGGATTATTTTTTCGGGGGCATTTTATCTTCTCAAAGGAGTGAAACTACAATTCATTCAATTTCTATAAGGTTATCTAAGACTGCTGGTTTGTGTCGTGATTTTTATTCATCCTTTGTTATTGTTATTTCTGAATGGAGAAGTAAGGAAAATGGTGAAGATTTTCGGTGTTCTTAAGGAGTACCTGCCATAATGATGGATCATGTGAAACTTCTTTCACATGCTAGAGAGGAATATACTATTGAGATATACTTTTTGTTCAAGGAACAATTTATGAAAGGTAGCTCTTGTTATCAAAAAATTGTCTTGAATGATGGATGTAAGTGCAAGTATCATGTGTGGCGACCAGATATAGACATTATAAGGCATGAAGTAATTTTTAAGCCAATCAATTTGGGTATATCTTGTAGTTGCAAGTTGTTTTCTGAATTGGGAATACTTTGCTGCCATTGTTTACGTATAATTCACGTGCACTGTGTTTCTAGTATTTCCGATAAATACATTCTAAAAAGATGGACTAAAAAGGTTGTTGATGGTAGAAATGTGGACATTGCATCTGTGTTTTATAATGTTGGTGTCCCTCCTTCAATTTGGGTTGTTGAGATTAGTAGGAAATTTCAAAGATTGATTGTTTCTAGTCAAGATAATAGTGTTGCTAGACAATTTTGTGACGAAGCTGTTGAGAACGCAAGGAAAAATGTTGAAGCTGAGATTGGGGATGTGAATATTGATGAGGGTTTCTTCAAGTGGTATTATACAAGATCATTCAAGCTGGAGGAGTAAATGTGTGAGAAATAAAAGGAGTAGTAGTGTTATTGAGAAGAAGTACAGTGCAGCAAGGGGGAGAAAGAGTGCTGCAAACAAGCTTGCTTCAATTACAAAGGGTGCTGTCCAATCATTGGTTTTGGAAAATATATTAGAGATTGCTCGGGATGAATATCTCGTACATCCAAGTTCTGGGGGTTCACAGTTTGTAGGGCTGTGCAATACCCGATCCATCCGAACAACCCGCCCGACCCGAACAATGATTCACCGAACGGTGATGAAATCCGAGAAGTTCGGATAATATCTGAACCGGCTAGCCTATGTGTGTCTATAAAAGGCGGACGGGTAGGGTTAGGATTTACCCCATCCGAACCCGTCTGAGATCCGAAGTATGGTCTTAGTATAAAAGCGTGCTTAGACCTAGGGTTTGCCACTTTGCCATTTCCATTCTCTGAGACTCTCCACTCCTTAGAGCTTCTTCTCGAATTCTCCTTACTTCCTTAGTCCTTCCCATGAATCCCATCCGATCTTCAGTCCTTCACTCCTTCTCATCTAATCTTCTTCCATAACTTCTGATTCTATGAACTCTGACTCTCTGAGTCTCTGAAGTCTGAGAGTCTGAACTCCCCTTCGACTCCTTCGAGGCTTCGAGTCTTCGATAGTTCGACGGGAATCTTGTGGAAGTGTCTGTG